GATGATGAGGATTCGGATGATTCGTATGATGATGTTGATGATGAGGATGATGGTGTTGACGACGATGAGGATGATACGTTTCGTGATGACCGTGATGATGTAGATGATGATGCTAACGATGTTCATTAGGATGATGCTGTTGATGATGCTGACTATCATGATGAGGATAATGATGATGCTGATAATGATGATGACGAAGATGATGATGATGATGATGATGATGGTGATGATGTAGGTGATGATGATAATGATGATCTTTATGATGATCCTGGTGATGATGTTGACTATCAAGATGATGATGTTGATAATGCTGATGATGACGATGATGCTGATGCTGATGATGATGATGATGACGATGATGATGTTGATGATGAAAATAACGATGATGATGTTGATGATGCTGATGATGATGTTGATGATTGTGATGATGATGATGGTGACCGTGATGGTGATGCTGATGATGATGATGACGGTGATGATGAGGATGATGTTGAGGATGATGATTATGTTGAGTCGGATGATTCGGACGCTGATGCTGATGATAAAGATGAATCTGAGGAGGATGATTCTTAACGGTACGACGCTGACGATGTAGATGATGATGATAATGATGTTGATTTTGATGTTGCTGACGATGATCCGGATTATCATGCTGTTGATGTGGATGATGATGACGATGATGATGATGTTGATGTTGACGATGATTATGATGTTGATGATGACAATGATGCTGATGATTATGATAATGATGATGTTGATGATGACGATGATGATGATAATGAGGATGACACTTATCGTGATGACGGCGATTCTGCAGAAAATGATGATATTGACGATCATAATGATGATGCTGATGATGATGATGATGATGATCTCGATGATTCGGATGATGTTGGTGAAGATGATGATAACGACGATTATTCGGAGGATTATGGTGATGGTGATGATGCTGATGATGATGATTATGATGGTGTTGATGATGATGATGATGAGGATGATGATGTTGATGATGGTGTTGATGATGATGATGATGAGGATGATGACGATGACACTTATCGTTTTGACAACGATGATGTAGATGATGATGATAAGGATGTTCATTATGATGATGCGCATGATGATGATGACAACCAGGATGATGATGTTGATGATTCTGATGATGACGATGACGTTGATGATGATGTTGAAGATGAGGATGATGACTATGATGATGATGATGATGATGATGACAACGATGATGCTGATGATGAAGATGATGATGAAATTAATGGTGAATATGATGATGACGATGATGGTGATACGGATGATGACTCGGTGATGATGATGATGATGTTGATGACGATGAGGATGATGAGAATGATGACTATGTTGATGATGATGAAGATGATGATCATGATCACGATCATGAAGGTGATGATGATGATGATGAAGATGATGATGATGATGATTCGGATGATGTTGATGATGATTATGATGATGATTATGATGATGATGATGATGATGATGATGATAATGAGGATGATACTTATCTTTTTGACGGCGATGATTCAGATGATGATAATAACGATCATCATAAGGATGATGCGTACGATGTTGATGACTATCAGGTTGATGATTATGTCAATCACGATGATGATGATGATGATGAGAATGATGACTATGTTGATGATGATGAAGATGTTGATCATGATCATGATCATGAATGTGACGATGATGATGATGAAGATGATGATGATGATGACGATGAGGATGATGAGCATGATGACTATGATGATGATGATGAAGATGATGATCATGATCATGATCATGAAGGTGATGATGATGATGATGATGATGAAGATGATGATGTTTAGGATGATGACTCGGTGATGATGATGATGATGTTGATGACGATGATGATGATGATGATGACTATGTTGATGATGTTGAAGATGATGATGTTGATGATGATGGTGAAGATAATCATGAAGGTGATGATGATGATGTTGATGATGATGATGATGTCTATCATGATGACGATGACGGTGATGTTGATGAGGATGATGTTGATGATGTTGTTGATGATTCGTATGATGAGGATGTTGAAGGTGATCATGATGATTTTGATGATGGTGATTCACATGATGCTGATGTTTATGATGATGATGTTGATGATGATGATAAAGATACTTATCGTGATGACGGTGATGAAGTAGATGATGATGATGATTATTCGGATAATGATGATGAAGATGATGATAATTTTGATGATTCGGTTGATGATGATGGCGATGATATTGATGCCGGTGTTGATAATGATGGTGATGACGACAATGATGATTATTCTGATGATGATGATGATGATTATAATGTAGATGTCCCTGATGATGATGATGATGATGATATTGATGATCATTATGATGACGCTGGTGATGATGACGACTACCATGATGATGACGATGACGTTGATGATGTAGATGATGATGATAATGATGATCATTATGATGTTGCTGATGAAGATGGTGAATATCCAGATAGTGATGTTGATGAATATGATGACGGTGATGATTGTGAAGATGGTGACGATGATGGTGATGATATTTATGATGATTCGGATGATTAGGATATTGATGATGATTCGGAAGATGAAGATAATAACGATGATTCGGATGATTCGGATGATGATGATGATGATAATGATGATGTTGATTTTGATGATGACGATGAGGATGATACTTATCGTGATGACGGTGATGATGTAGATGATGATGATAATGATCATAATTATGATGTTGCTGATGATGATGCGGAATATCATGATGATGACGTTGATGATGATGATGATGATGATGTTGATGATTCGGATGATGATGATGGCGATGATATTGATGCGGGTGATGATAATGATGGTGATGACGATAATGATGATTAGTCTGCTGATAATGATGATGGTTATAATGTAGATGTCTCTGATGATGATGATGATGTTGATGAGGATGATGATGATGACGATGATGACTCGGATGATGATGATGGCTATGATATTGATGCCGGTGATGATAAT